TCCAAACCGAAACAACCCCCCTTCCCTTCCCGAAACCCGAGACCCTAAACCCCTAAACCCTAAACGCGAAACCCTTAAGCCCTTAAACCCCAAACCCTAAACCCTAAAACCTAAAACCCTAAACCCATAAGCCCCCAAGAAGAGAGCCGAAAAGCCTCGGCCGAAGCGAGGCTTCGGCTCTCAGCTTTCGGCGAAGTCGGAGGGGAGCGCGCTCACCGGGGCCGCCTGATCCATTATTGTTATTTTTTTTATTATTTTTTTGGTGGGTTATTATTATTATATTTTTATTTTTTTATGGGGGGGGGGGTGGTCCTTATGATATTTTTTGTGGGATCCTTATTATAATTATTATAATATTTTTTTTATGGGGGTTGCTTATTATTATAGTATTTGGGCGTTCCTTATTATACTATTTTGGGGGTTCCTCATTATTTTTTTTTTGGATGGGGTTCCTTCTTATGACTAGTTTGGGCGTTCCTCATTACACTTATGGTAAAATGGGCCCCAAAACCCTATTCTAATTATTAAGGCCCCTACATTGGGCGGATCGGTTTGTTCGGAGGGGTTTCGGGCGCAGGGTTTCGGGAGGGGGGGGGAGGGTCTAGGGTGTTTAGAGTTTTGTGTGGGCGTGTGTCTTTTGTGGTAAGCGGGGGTGGGGGGGGCGAGGCTGTGTTTTATTCCTTCTTCAAGGCTTTGGTCTCTGATCGTTTGGTTTGTGGTCTCTGCAAGGGGTCTGCGGTGCTGCGTGCATCTTGGAGAAGAATAACTAACGGTTTTCAAAGCAAGGAGACAGACGTTCAGCCCTATGGTGATGTGGCGATGCCCCAGCTTCGTAGTGTCGAAGTTCCCAAACCCGAAACCTAAAAGCCAAATGCAATACACTCAGGGAGTGAGGAGGTTACGGTGAGAAGGTACACTTGCTTCTGAGGGCCGTTGAATGCGCTGTCCTCCCTGGTTTGTTCGACACATGCCCTCTCTGCAAAAACATGGCTTTGAGGCCTGGGATTCAGGGCCTACATTACCAGTGAAATCAGTAGCATTACCTGCAACAGCAAGCCCGGGAAACAATCAGTCCAACAAAAACATACCAACACCAGCTCTGTTACCCTGGAGCTTCACTTCCGAACTGGCGCTTAGGGTCTGTATAAGGACCTGTTTATCGAGGTCTCCATACTTGGAGGACCATGGGACTTAGCATGTCGGGTTATAAGGACCTTGATTAGGATTGTAAGGAGATACAACTATAGTTACCTTACTCGTAATACTAAGTTCCTTGATCCTTTAAGTACGTAGCCTTACAAGAGGGGACGGTTTAGGGTTTAGGGATTGGGGGGAATCCGCTTCAATTGAAGCAATTGAAGCCTCCGAGCCTTCGCCGACAAACCGGGGCCCAAACCGAAAACATCTTCATGAAGCCTAAACCCTAAAACCCGAAACAAATCGAAAAAATCTTCATGAGCCCTAAACCCTAAACCCTAAACCCTAAAACCCTAAACCCTAAACCCTAAAACTCTAAAACTCTAAACCAGAGGATTTTCGAGACTGCGCCGTATCCCTGAACCCCCAGAGACGAAACCGTGAGCCCGAAACCTTTGGCGATAGGCCCAGACCCTGACCCCTAAGCCCTAAACCAGGAGCCCTACTTGGAGGATCACGGGACTTAGTAAGCAGGGTTTTTCAGCAAGGTAACTATTGTTATATCTACTTCTCACCCTAATTAAAGTACTTTTTACCTTACTTACTACGTCCAATGATCCCCTAAGTAAAGCCCAAACTCCCAACTTCAAGCCGTGAGCGATGAATCTTTTGTTGCTCACGACTTCTTAGGATCAGAGCCTCACCGCTCATGCCCGACTTCGAAAGCTCCAGGAGCTAGATAAGGCCGATCGGTTTAGGGTTTAGGTTTTGGGGTTTTAGGCTAGTGGAGTGCTTAGGGTTCGAGGGGTTGGGGCTTTTTCAGGCTTAGAGTTCAGCCGGATCCGTCCGCAAAGTTGGCCTGTTCTCCGCGGAAAGGGAGGGCCATCCAGATGTTGCAATTTGACAAAGTCTAAGTTTAGGGTTTAGGGTTTAGAGGCTTAGGGCTTGCAGTATGTGCGCTGTGCCAGAGCGTGGAGCAGTTGATTCGGCGACAGGGCCCTGGCATGGGCAAAGCAGAGATCTTGAGGACATGTACTGGATACTATAATATACTAGAATATACTATACGATACGATACTATACTATACTATAATCTAGTTACTATAGTATACATCCCCTCCAGCCTAAATGCCGCACCTGACAGCTCAAGTCCAGCGGCTGCATCAACTACCCAACACCCGGCATTCCTTTGCTGGATTCCTCAGCCCGAAGGCGACAAAGATACCCTTCATCATGGTTGAGCTGCGTGGCTTCTTGCATCAGAAAGCAGCTGAAAGGTGCACTCGCAGTGGATTCGTGTGGTTCTGAGTCCAGATTCGAGGGTTTTCGTTGTTCTAGCGCATGCATGTTAAGGAGGCGACGGGGAGAGTTACATTGAGATCTGCGGCAAGGACGAGTATGGTGTTGCCTGGCGGAGTGGGCAATGATCTGCTTTCTGCTGATTTAACTCAGCCACAGTTTCCGGCCCTACCCAAACCCTTAATAGCCCTGCGCCGTGTGCGGAGCAGTTGCTCCCTCGACATGCCTTGGAGCATTTTGTCCGGACATTGGCCTGCCCGGTACCCAGGTTTACGGCTTCTTGGACAAGTTCCTTACGGAAGAACTTTGGAGAGCAGTTGTTGTCTCCAATTAACAATCTATGCTTCCGCATTCTGGGGCGCAAAGCTTCCGGTTCTCTGAGTCTTACATACTTCAGGACTTGCGCGTCGCATCTGTTTTAGGAACCCGTCTGACTTTGTGTTTAAGCCTCCCAAGACTGGACAGCCTCACCGTCAGAGCCGCCATGCCTGCTTGTCGGATTGCCGGGGGGGTGTGAGCTGCGGTTTTGGACCTTCCACAGCCACCACACGATCGGGTTGCAGTAGCAGTGGGAGCAGTCGTCATCGCCACTGAAGTCGTGTCGTGGTAGTGGATGGCGGTAGTCGTACCGTCGTGGTGGTCGTTGCAGCAACCACAACCACGTCAATGGTAGGCCTAGTAGGGCGAAGAGGACGAATAATAATAATGATAATGATAATAATAGTAATTGATACTTGCAATAATTGTCATGATAATAACAATTATTATAGTAGCGATAATAATGGTAACGATAATAGTAATAACAACAATAATAGCAAAAGTAATCGTACCAGTAATAGTACTGATAAGAGCAACACCCCATGGTAGCCCGCGAGCTCTCTGTCACGTCATCTCGAGTACACCGGGTTCGCTGGATTAGTTCCCGCAAAATTTAGGGTTTAGGGTTTAGGGTTTAGGGTTTAGGGACAAGTTTGGGGCACAGAGGGTCTCGTTTTTGAGCAAAGGGTTTAGGGTTTACGGCTGAGGGCTCCAGGGAACACCTGTATAAGGTCATTGTACAGGTACTACAAGGGTACTATAATGTACTGCAAGGTTACTTTAATGGTATGCACACTTCATGACATGCCACCACAGGAATGGTCCTGCCAGAAGCTGGATGCTGGAGATCTCAGCGACGATACGCAGCTGCCTTTCTGCGATGCCCTTTACAGCTGGCCCTTCTTCAAGGCTTCCTCAGAGCTATCATGAGTCAAGGATTTGGTCTTAGGAGTTCCCTGTGCGCACCGTGTACAATCTCCTGCGTAGACTTCTCATGGATTCAAGAATGCCTTCCTAAATGGCCCTGCGACGCGGCAGCCATCAGTCCAAGACCTTCAACCCTGACCCCCTTCTCCGACACTTACGGCCGTTCTTCAACACGAAACCCGTGTTTGGAGTCGCCTGAACGGTGGCGGTTCAACCGGTACAACTCCCAAACCCTGCATTGCCCTGCATCCTCAGCCGTGAAAGGCTGAAATCCTTGAACCCTAAACCCTAAACCCTAAGCCAAAGGAAAACAGAAGCGATTGAACTCCTAAAGAAATTCGAGCTCAAGCCGTCAAGTCACAAGTCCACAAAGCCCGATCTTCCTAAACCAAACTTTCAGTGCCTAGGAGTCCGGGCTTCGAATCTTGATGTTGAACCCTAAGCCCTAAGCCCTAGCCGCCGATATTCAAGCCCTTGCGATGAAGGTTCGGAGTTGCCGGGGCTGGCTGCTTTGGCTTTAGGGCTTTGGGTTTTAGAGTTTAGGGTTTAGAGGTTGGGGAATTCCACCCTAAACCCTAAACCCTAAACCCTAAATCCCAAAACTTCGAAGAGCATTTTGCTGATGAAGCCCCAGCTCCGCCACGAGTGCCGCATTTCGAACGCAGCAGTCAGGCGGCCGGCGAAGAAGGTCTCAGCCACTCTGCCGCAATGGCTATCTTTTCTCGGTTTGGGGTTTAGGGTTTAGGGTATAGGATTTCGGGATTAGTTGGGGTTCGTGAGCCAAAACTGTTAAAAAGGACGGGGAAGAGGACAAAGAACTAAGCTAACTAAGCCACCCTGAGCCTCATACCCCAAAGTGCAAGCCCTAAACCCCTAAGCCCAAAACCTCCGACTTTCGTGCTAGAAGCCTCTCCGAGGTAACATGGGCCTCGCAACGATGCGAGCCTCGTCGGTATTAAGAACAGGGTTTTGGGGCATCTTGTTCCATAATGAGATGGCGACTATAGGGGTTACCACTGATGGCTTTGTCCGGGGTGCCACAAGGGTCACATTGAGGGTTCAAAAAGGGCGTAAGAATGGGCAGTAAGGGTCAATTGCTCTATTTTGTAATGCGCCGTTGCAATGACTGCAGCCCGCGACAGCACCTAAACAGACACGCTTGAAGGTATGACGGGTAGGATTTCAAGCTTGGCCAAAGAACTGCCAAGGACTCGTTGATTACATGTGCAATCAGCTGAGCTGGACGCTTGGTGTCATCAACGGCGGCAACGTCGGCTCGAAGGCACGCAAAGCCAGTTCCAAGTCCTAGAATTCTCAAACCCGAAAGCGAATGTCCGAATGTCCGTCAAGCTATTGAGACTAAAATGCAGCTGGCACGCGGGTGCCATCAGAAACTGCTGCTAAGCAGCCGGAAGCTGAAAATCAGTTGGGGCTTCTTGAATCAGGAGCCCGAGCCAAGGGTACTGAATATCACAAGGATCTTACTACTAAGGGTCGAAATTGAGGCGCCGCATTTGCGGAATCTCCCACTTCTGTCATGGGATCGGACATGCGAATTGTTCTTAAAACTGGGGTCTGCAACGGCGGAGCTCCCGTTACAAATAGAGACCGGTTTAGGGTTTAGGGTATCCTGTACTGGAAGCGTGGTTGTGGGTCAGGGTTTAGGGTTTCGGGGTGTGTAGGTTGGTGCATGAAGAGTTCTGCCTCAGTTTAAACTGAGACGTGTTTGGAAGTACTAGGAACCAACCTTTGACTGGCTTGAAAATTCGGGAGGTTATGGGTGACTGGAGAGCAGAGGTTGTAGGGGGGAGAGGGCTTCTGGTGGTGATCAAAAGCTCTGCATATGAGCCCCTTTCAAAGCGAAGGTGAGTCCACGGCTTGCATTGTTTCGTGGTGATTGAGAGTGCCCTTTAACGCCGGCGCTCGACTGAAGACCACGCACTTTATGTCGGGTTAGCGGTACAATGATGTTTAATGGTCTCTTTCAGAACCTCTAAATAGCCTGAATCTCCACACCTCGAAGCCTGCCAGAAAGGCAAGCCATCGAGCTAAAGGCTTTTCGAAGCACAAATCTACACTCCGGTAGTTGAAACCTCCTGACCTCTAGAAACTGCTGGACTCGACGACCTCTGTCTGAAGCGCACGCAGTAAGCACAGGC